CAAGCGGCACAAATGCTGGCCGACTTTGACCGTGAGTGTGGAAAGGTAGGACTACAGCTGAATCTTACGAAGACAATGTTTATGAGAAACAGCCTTGTTCCTGACGCCCCATTCGCTCTCAATGGAACGACCATCTCCGAATGCAACAGCTATGTGTACCTAGGTCGAGAGGTCAACATGACAAATGACCTGGCACCCGAGCTGCGCTGGAGGAAGAGAGCGGCTTGGAACGCCTTCAAGAACGTCGAAGAAATAGCTAAGAGGACGAAGAACCTCCGGCTCCGGGCACATCTCTTTGATTCCACTGTTCTTCCTGCATTAACATATGCCTCAGAGACCTGGGCCCTACGCAAACAAGATGAGAACGCCATTCAGGTCTCCCAAAGAAGAATAGAAAGAGCTATGCTTGGAATATCACGTTTCACTCAAATGAGAGAAAGAATCCGGAGTTCTGACATCCGTCGACGATCAAGGATCAGGGATGCTGTCTCATATGCCAAGGTGTCGAAAATCAGATGGGCTGGTCACGTAATGAGATTTAAAGACGACCGTTGGACTAGAGCTATTACTGATTGGATTCCACGGGATGTCAAGAGACCGCGTGGCCGCCCACCTACCAGATGGTCAGACTTCTTTGTCAAGGTCATGAACGATCGGTTTGAGGCCCTCCATGTTCCCGGAGCGAAGAGATGCCATTGGGCTACACTAGCACGCGACAGGGACAAATGGAGACGTTACTGGCGCCCGCTCGAGCAAATCGCCGACTAACGGGAAGTTAAGTGATTAAGTGATTAAGTGTTTTCAGAAATCTATGCTTTTCTATACAGGACATGAAAAGGAACAAAAGTTAAGTCTTCAAGTGGCTCTTGCACCTGTAATTTTGTGTCTTAAATCCCTTTCTCTTTCTTCCACTATTTCTAACCGATTGTTCTTAAATTTTTTTTATATCCCTTCCTCACTTTTCCTGTCTCCTAGTTTTTCCTCATTTTTGTCTTTCTTTCTCTTCCAACATAACACCAATAGTCCTCTCGGTATTTAGTTCCACTGAAAGAACTCAATTGATACATAATGAAATAAATGATCAACGTTTTGGAAGAAGTTTCACTTCTTTTCTATCTCCAACTGAAGCAGGAAAATTTCTTGAATATTAAACCAAGTCTTATGATTAAGAAATTATTGTATGAAGTCAGAATCCAAATTTCCTGGTCATATGTGGGAACTTTATGCAGGCACCCTTGAGTTTGAGTTTGGTTTCTTCTTGGGCTCTAGAAGAACCTTATTTTGACTATAGTGAGTGCTGCAGAATTTCTTTCTTGTGGGGGAAAAATTCTTGCTAGACCTTACTTTGTTTGTGATACTGGCTTCTGAGAAGGCAACTGTTCTCAAACATAATCATGCTTTAGAGTCTAGCTTCTTAATACTGTGGGTTGTGACCATAACAGAATGTGTGGGTTACAAAATATTTGGCAACAGCAAAAATGTTTCTGAATATGCAATGACCAAAAATTAATTAAAAAATCAACTTTGGAATTACTCCAAGGTATTTCTAGCAGAACTCACTCAAGATTTTTTTCCCCCAGTTGGTCAAAGGGTTTTGAGCGGAAAAAGTTTCAGAAGCTCTGTATTAGACTCATTTGGAGTCTATTATAATACCCAATACTGAGCCTATTTCAAGTTTTTTTGGTCAGAAGAATGGGGTTGCACCCAAGAATGTTCCATTCTAACAAGTCCTCAGGTGCTGCTGCTCACTGTTCACACTGAGAATTACTGGTATATAACACTAGAAAGCAAGTGGTGTTTTGCTTAAGAGCAAGCAACGAAAACGATTATAAATCTTAACTGAGACCTGCCAACACATTACCTTGGATCTAGAGACTCTGAATTATGAAAGGTATGTCTCCGAGAGGGGCAGAGGAATTGAACTCGTGGCCAACCTGAGTTCTATTCTTCTGCCCCTCTGGGAGAGCCAGGCAAGTTACTGAGAGTATTTTGCCCACATGGCAAAGCCTGGCAAGCTACCCATGATGTATTCAATATGCCAAACACAGTAACAACAAATCTCACAAAGGAGACATTACTGGGCCCGCTCCAGCAAATCAATGAACAACCGCAGGACAGTGTTAGAGTGCTATGTAGTCCAAAAGCTATCATAATTCTGAGTTCAAGGTCTGTCAATATCTTGAGTTTTTCTCATGGGTTCTTTTATTTCCCTTATCAAGAGTTAGCTAAGAGATAAAAATTAAGAGAAAGTCCATACAGAGCAGTTAATCCTTAGATCATTAAAATAGCTTTATATTTTAGTTTTTGGGCTATGCCTAGCAGTATTCAAAGCATACTCCTGGATCTGTGCTCAGGGATTACTCTTGGTAATGTTCAGAGGTACCGTGTGCAGTGCGGGGGTTTTAACTGGGATTGGCCATATACATGCAACACGAGCACCTTATCCCTGTGATATTTTTCTGGCCACTCTTTAAAATAGCTTTGAGTATTTTTTTTAAACTCAAGACAAATTTTTTTACTCACCCTCATACTTCTAATAATCTCTCTTTCTCTCTGACTTGCTCTCTTTCTCTCTTAAGGAGTAGCGAGAAGAGAAAGAAACACAGTAGAGAAATGGACCTTAATAATTTCAATATATCTATGAGGGCCATAAAATATATAAAGCAATATATGAAGATTCACCAACTCTGTAAATTTAATTTTTCTTATTCAAGCTGCCTTTTAGTTTTTCCATTAACATTTTGATAAATAAAAACCAAATTAAAAAAACATTTTGTTGGCTTGGTTTGGTTTTGGGGCCACACTTGACTGTTCTTGGGAGCTACTGCTGGCTCTGTGTTGTCACTCCTGGTGGTGTAGAGGAGACCATGCAATGCTGGAGACTGAACTTGGACATTGCATGCAAAGTATGAACTCCAGTGTGTTGAGCTTTCTCTGGCTTTTAGAAAAAGCTCTTTATCCCTCTGAAGGATAACTATTTTGTGAATCATTATCATAACAATGTCATGTCAATAAAATGTATCTCAAGTATTATGATTCTTCTGCTCTTCTATGTTTAAGAAATTATATTGATAGTATATTTAAATTTTTTATGGGTATTTGTTTTGGATCACATCCAGCAGTACTCAGGACTTACTCCTGGCTCTGCCTAATTCGTAATTCTCAGGAATTACTCCTGGAGGACTTAGGGGACCATAAGGGATGCCAGGTATTGAATCCTAGATGGCCACGGTGCAAGACAAGTACCTTACCCACTGTACCAGCCCCATAAAGTATCCTTAATTTTATATTACTCTTGTAATATTTTGCATGCATGTATTCTACAAATTTTATACTTACTGTTAAAAGTAGCCATATTCTAGAATTCCCTTGTGATTTTAAAAACTTTTTTTTTATTGAATCACTGTGAGATAGACCCTTACACAAAGCTATTCATGATTGGATTTCAGTCACACAGTTTTCCAACACCCATCCCTCCACTAGTGTACATTTCCCCAGGTTCCCTTCCATCAACCCACACGCCCTCCTCCCAGCCTGCCTTTATGGTAGGTGCTATTCTTCTCTCTCTGTCTTCCTCTCTCTCTTCTTTTGGGCTTTGTAGTTTGCAATATTAATACTGAAAGGTTATCAAGAATATACATTTACCTATTTTTAACACTCAGATCTTGTCCAGTGTGATCATTCTCAGCTATTATTGTCATACTGGTCTCTTCTCTATCTTACCTATTCTCTGCTCCCCACACACTTGTGGTTGATTCCAACCACTGACCAGTTCTCCTAGCCCCTGTTTTCCCTGATCATGGAGATTAGTCTTCCACTATATATTTTTTATATACCACAAATGAATGCAGTCATTCTCTATCTGTCCCTCTACTTCATATTTATTTCAGCATGATACTCTCCAAATCCATCCATTTATAGACAAATTTCATGACTTCACTTTTCCTAACAGCTGCATAGTATTCCATTATGTAGATGTGCCATAGTTTCCTTGTCCATTCGTCTGTTCTTGGGCACTCAGGTTGTTTCCAGGTCCTGGCTATTGTGAATAGTGCTGCAATGAACATAGGAGTGCAGATAATGTTTCTGCTGTGTGTTTTTGGGCCCCCAGGGTATATTCCCAGAAGTGGTCTTGCTGGGTCAAATGGGAGTTCAATTTCTAGTTTTTTGAGGAATGTGCTTATTGCCTTGTAGGTTTTATTTAGGCTTTACAATCAAGAGTTATTTGCTTCATAAAAATTAGAAAAGCAAAATTTAGCTTCTTTACATTTAAAAGAAATTATATGAAACAAGAGGTAATTCTTTGAGTAACTGAAAAATGGGTCAGTAAAAGTCATAACTCTGTTCTTTTATAGCACCTCTAGGATTTTTTTTTGTGGGATGGGGCAGTGTCTCAATTGCCAATCAGTCAGTGGTTAAATTCAGTGCTTCTCAGTACCTGTGATACTCAGGTCTGCACCAAGATCAGATTATGCTAGGCAAGAGCCCTAACTGGTGTACTATATACTGGTTCTTTTTGGATAATTTTTTCTGGTGTTTTCTAGCTCTGATTGAACCATTTTATCACATATATATGTATGTGTTTCCCCTTCTTCTATTTTGGTGTTTGTGCCACACCCTGTGGTGCTCAGGGTTTACTCCTGGCTCTATACTCAGGGATCATTCCTAGCAAGCTAAAGGTACCATATGGGGTTCCAATGATTGAACCTGGGTCAGCCGTGTGCAAGGCAAGCACCCTACCTGCTCTACTGCTGTCCCTATTGTATTTTCTTTAGCATAAAAACCACTACAGGAAGAGAGGCCAGGATGACAATTGAATAGTGGGAGAAGCTGGTGAGAATATAAAAGTCAGCTAAGATTGAACCAACTGATTGAGTTAATTATATATTCATATAATTTCATTGTATCTGTGTCTGAGAATCTTCAGCAAAAACTGCTGCATATACCTATTTTCATTACTTCCCATCTTAGCTTCCCTCACATTTCCCTATTTCACATACCTGGATACTTCGTTCTTTTTGGTCATGTGTTTAAGATAAGTTGTCTTTGTTTCAAGGGTTCCATCCATTTCACTGTATGAACACACCTCGCTTTTGTCTGGATTCAAGGTGGAGAAAATACATTTTTCACCTTCAAAAGTCAGCGTTAAGTTTGAGATGGTGACATGTTTTGAGGGTTCTTTGATTTCACTCTTAGTTTTTGAGTCTCGTAGACATCCAGGCTTCAGAATGTTTTTTACTTCCTATAGATATAATAAGCAGTAGCAAATTAAATAACAGAAAAGCATCAGATACAGAATACTTATGAACCTATGTCTCACACAGCCATCATATTCCATTTGTATTTACTGAATTCCCTTCTTGTGCACAAGTAATGAGGAGTAAAAGTGGGTAGATGTTGCCAGACCATTGATGAGTTGGGTCCTATTGTGGATACTGGGGCTGGCAACATGCAGATATAAAATAGCACATGCAAAAGCTCATGTGTTCATGCATGCATTCAAACAAGAATATCAGCATTTAATTACTATAGCACTTTATTTTCCTGAATTGTCAGAGAGAAGGCTTTGTACAACTGCTTTGCCAGCTGCTTACTCAAACTGAGGTTGCTCTTGGTTTAAGAACCTCTAATAGGTAATAGGAGTTGGTGGTTCATACTAATAGTAAAGAATTTGTTTTTACTTATTATTATTATTATTTTAATAATATATACCAACATTTTTTTTCTGTTCTGGGGCCATACCTGGTAGTGCTCATGACTTACTCCTGACTCTGTGCTCAGGGATAACTACTGGCTGTGCTTGGGGACTGTATGTGGTATCCAGGTATTGATACCTGATATTGAAGTGCAAGGCAAGCACCTACACACTGTACTATCTCTCTAGCCCGATAATCTTTTTCTTATGTCATCAAAATTGTGTGAAACCTTTTTGTTTTCAAAATAAAATTATTTTTATGAAAACTCTAAATTTAGAAAGTATAAATTGCCTATAATCCCACTATTATAGAAATAGATTTAACAATATGATCTGTTCCTTTCCTATTGTCTGCATATACACATGTAATTTTAGGTAAGAGAGTCGTAATCTTCATCTCATTATTTTATCATAAACATTTTTCTATGTATATAAAAGCTCTACAATAGTTTTAGGCATATTCCTTGCATGACGTCAACCACAGTTTGATGTCTGGCACCACATGGCCTCCACCTTTACCTCCCTGTCCTAGAATTGCTAGGAGGTGCCTCTAGGCCTCCTGAGCACTGTTTGACAGGGCCTCATCAACCCCAAACATTTACAATTGTTTATACAGAATAGACATATATTTAACAGAAGTTCACTGAACACATATGGTCTTCTTGGCTGATACTCCTGAAGATCAATAGCTATTTACCCTTCTTGGATTTATTAAATCCACTTAGTTATTTCCCTATGTTTAGGTTACTTCATTTAATATTCACTAAATAGAAACAGAGAGACAGATTCATATGTTGAACACATGCCTTGTATGTAGGAAGCCTGGGTTCAATCCTGAGCAGTGCACACTGCCCTGTGCACCACTGAAAGTAACCCCTGAACACAGAACTGGGAGTATCCCCAAGCACTGTTGAATGTGGTGCAGAAAACAATAACAAAATATTTATGAAAGATTTCCATTATTTAATTTTTGTAAACACTTTCTATAGCCATATCACACTGAATGCACCCAATTTTGTCTAATTTTTGTAAACATGGTATAGGTATGATATGATTTCTTTTCTTTTTCTTCTTTCTTTCCCAAATTGGTATCTTGGTAGGTAATACGTCATTTTTTATTTTCAGATGAATTACCTATAAAATACTCTTAGAATCTGAATCACTGAGTCAAATGGACCTTGATTCTTAATGATTTTAGAAATATTTGCATCAATTCTCATCCCAATTACATATTTGTATAAATTTCAAATTGACTATACTTACAGACATGTTCACTGTTAACATTTTTTTTCTTTTTTTATTAGTGAAAAACCATGAGATACAGTTATAGGCTTACAAATTTTGTGCTTGGGTTTCAGTTATACAATGATCAAGTGCCCATCCCTCCACCAGTGCCCGTCATCCATCCCCATGGGTCCCAGCATCCCCCCCACCCTCATCCCCCCCCCCGTCACTGTTAACATTTTTTGTGGTCACTGTTGTTGAAATTTTGGGGGGGAGCTAAACATGCTATGATCAAGGATCACTATGGTAGTGCTTGAGTAATTTAATGCAGTGCTGGTAATTTAATTTGGGTCAGTAATGTGAACACAAGTGCCTAAATAACTGTGTATTTTTTAATATGGCCCTGTTTATATTCTTTTAATGGTTTTGTAGGTGATATTATTTTTGTTAAGTTCTCATTTCTTGATTATTAGCAAAGTTAAAACTTTCCCAATTATCAGCAATTTTTTTCCTGTAAAATATCTATTCTAGCCCCTTGTCATATTTTTGTTGTCACCCACTCTACCTTGGACATTTTTTGGCAGCAGTCTCCATACTTACCTATTTACCTACAACCTATCCTGCCATCATATTAAAACAGTTAAAAATACAGTTCAAATAAAATACAACTTTGTAACCCACAGTGTTTGAAGAAAATTTAAAAAAATGGAGAGAATGAAAAAAAATACAAGTTCTTTCATTTTGTTACTTGGAGGCCTTTGGTGACTCATATTTACCAATGGGTCAAGTCCATACTTTTAAACTTGTCATTCAATAGCCAAGATAAGTACCAGGAGATTCACTCCATGGCTTGGAGGCCAGCCACACATGCTGAGGGAAAAGGCAGCTCAGATTGAGAGGGGAGCACCAAGTAAAGGGTGTTGGGAGGACCCTTCCAGGATGAGAGATGCATGCTGAAAATAGACTATAGACCGAACATGATAGCCTCTCAATGCTTCTTTTGTAAACCACAGCATCCAAAAGGAGAGAGAGAACAAAAGGAAATGCCCTGCCACTGGGGTGGAGTGGGATGGGGGGTGGGGGGGTGGGAGGGATGCTGGGAGCATTGGAGGTGGGGAATGGGCATTGGTGAAGGGATGAGTACTCAATCATTGTAATAAGTGAAACCCAAGCACAAAAAATTGTAAGTCTACAACTGTACCTCATGGTGTTTCACTAATAAAAATTTAAAAAAAAATTGTCATTCAAAATTTGCTAACTATTTTCTAATCCTGTATTCTTTTTGTTTGTGTAGTTGGTGTTTGCTTTTTGTCTTGTTTTGGGGGCCACTGGGGCTATTCCAAGCTCAGGGGTAGCACTACGTTCTTAGGGGATCACTCTGCATACAAAGTGTTCATCCTCGCTCATTGGGTCATATCTCCATCCATTCCTATATTCTAATATTCTATCTCTCTCTCTCTCTCTCTCTCTCTCTCTCTCTCTCTCTCTCTCTCCTCTCTCACTCTCATGATCCAGTCAAACTGAACCATTCTCAGTCATGACTCTTTATTATTCCATTTTCTGGTTTTTCCTATTTTCACCATTACTTTAATCTACTGAAATTTCACCAAATCCTTCAAGGTAGTGAGTAATTTTGTAATCACTTAAATTTTAAGTTAAACCATATGTGATATTAATATCCTCATTCTAAAAATGAGGAACCGAGGAACCAAGGCTCATATAGGTTCAGTGAATCAACTAATATGTAGCAGGGTACATATTACATAGGGTACTTATTACTCAACTAATAAGTAGACAGTCTAACCCTAGGTCTTCTGATTCCAAAGTTTTTTCCTCCCCATCATAGTATTTTGATATCAGATTAAATCTGAAGTTGATGATAGTGACTTCCAATTTAATGAGATCATATCTTACAACTCTTTCACTAGATTTTAGAAATCTTTTCACTAGATTTCAGTGATCAAAAAAATCTCACTGTGGGAGTGATCCTTCAGGCTCGGGAAATTAGTACAGGAGGTAGGGTGCATACAGATCTGATTTCTATCATTGGTACCAGATGGCCTCCCAAGCATACCATGTGTGGCCTTGGAGGTGCCTGAACACTACTCGGGTAACCCCGAAGAAACCCAAAAATGCAGGACACAAATTACTGGCATATTCAGATCCTTGGCTGAGTATTACTAGATGTAAGCCTTGTTCCCTGGAGCACCACTGGGGATGCTCCCTCTCCCCAACAGAAAAAAAAAGAAAAAATCAGATGTCAATGTTACATCAATAAGTCAATGAATTCCACAGCATTTTGATATTCAATTTTAGGAAGCTAACTAATAAGAGTAATGTCTACACTCTTGTTCTCAATTATCAGAAAATAGTCTTTTATATCATGTACCTTTTCTTCCTTTGTGGACTCTTTTATGTCATCATTTTCAAATACCACTGTGACAGTTGAGGCAGCTTTGATCTCACAGGTATCCTGGACCTCTATAACTTCCGTGACAATTTTTACATCTGGGACCTCTGTGACTTCATTTTCTGGAATATCCGTAACATCAGTGACATAAGTGTTCCTGGTGATATCGGAGAAGTCTACGCTTTCAGTGACATGTTCACATGCACTTAAGTGCACGCATGGGGACTGGTCCTCTGTGAACTCCACAAAATCCATGATATCCGTTGAACATGTGTTGTCTGTGCTGTTTGTGATTTCTGAGAGGCTTGAGATTTCTGACATTTTGGAAGCTTTGGCTTTCTCCTGATTTAGAAAGGAGATGAGCTCTACCCATTGATAAAACAAAGTGTCCTGAATGCATGCAGGGGCGCAGAGCTGAAGGTAGTAGGCTTTTCTACTCACTAACTTTATTTTCAGTATCATTTTATCAAAATCATGCACACTAAGAGTAACAAATTGGAGAGGAAGAAACCTGCAATCAAAATGCAAATGTTATCCAGAGGTATGATTTGAAAACTATCGAAAGACCTTTCTATAAAATGATTTATTTATTTTTATTGAATTAATGTGAGATAGTCAAGTTGTTCATGATTGGGTTTCAGTCATACAATGTTTCAACACCTGTTCCTTCACCAGTGTACATTTTCCAACACTAATGTCCCCAGTTTCCCTCCCAACCTCCTGCCTCTATGGCAGAAAATTTCCTACTTGCCCCCCGTCCCCCGCCAAAAGATCTTTTTGTTTGTTCTTTTTCTTTTTGGTGGTACTGGGGATTGAATCTTATACACACAAAGCAAGTGCTCGACTGCTAAACCACATTCCTAGGCCCTCTACTTCTGCTTTATAGTAGCTGAAGAGATTTAGTAAAACAGTTTGTCTCCCAGGCAGGCCTGGGAAGTGGCAGTCATAGAGTGGGAAGTACTAAATGGCAGCCACAAGGTACCCAGGTCTGGTGCTTAGCTTTTGCAGTTCAAACCATTTTTGTAGGAGGATGGGGCCAAAAAAAGAACCAAAGTTTAAAATTCCCTGCATTTCCTAACTAAAAAAAAAAATTGTGGACATAAGTCATGACTGGGCCTCACACTGAAAAACTAATCACAGACAAATGAGCTGCTATAGAGGTGTCTCTGCTAGAAAAAGTACTGGAACAGAATTTGGAGGCACAGCTGAGTAACTTCCCTCCTGCTTCAAGGGAGGGAGTGGTTGCCAGAAAAGGATAGAGAACTGAGACCAGAATGTGCCCCAGGTTCAGGTGTCAGGCAGTGCCTATACATGGTGGGGAACTCAGAGCCCAGAGGGAATGCCAGTGTGGATGGTCCCAAGCACTGGAGGGCCCAAAGCAGAGGATCAACAGTTGTACAGCTTCAGCAGTCCCCTCCCCTCCCAGTCCCCATTCTGAAGAGAGTGTCATGAGGACACACTTGACATTTTGTAGAATACATGGTCCCTAGGGAAAAGCAGTTAACAGCATAGACCCTCAGGCTACCTTGAATGGAGCATTAAGCAGACGGGCACTCCAGTGTAGGCATTCTGCGGTGAACAGATGGAATGCTGGTCAGAGGAAACTGAGAAACAGGCTGTGCTTTCTCCAATGCCAGTGTATGCCTGAATGCCTACTAGTGGTTCCCAGGTTGCCCCAAACAAAGAAAACAGGCAGGTACACACTTGAGTGCAGCTGCCCCCTGGTGAACAGATAGCTTGTAGTTCAAAGTTCTCTGAACTGAGGAACAGGCTAGGCATTTGCTTCAACACAGGCAGCCTAATGCCTGAGGGTGGAAAGTTCACAAGGTGACAGGAATTTAAAAGGAACTGGGGGCTGAAGAGATAATAGCAGAGATAAGAAGCTTGCTTTTCATGCGGCATGCCTCAGTTCAATTCCTGGCTCCATATATGGGCCCCTATGCACAGAACTAGGAGTAAACTGAGAATACTGTGGCATGTGGCCCAAACCCATCCCCCAACAACCAAAAAGAAAGAAAAAAGAAAGAAAGAAAGAAAAAGAAAGAAAGAAAGAAGGAAAGAAAGAAGGAAAGAAGGAAAGAAGGAAAGAAGGAAAGAAAGAAGGAAAGAAAAAGGATAGAGGAAAGGGAACTGGAAACATGTTCGAGAGGGAATGCTCTGGATGAACAGATAATGGATAGAGGACAAGATCCCCAGAATTTCACCTGAAAACAGGTTTGTACACAGGAATACAATGGTTGGCAAGACAATAGATACAGAGAGGCCCCAGCTGCCAATTAAGCCTTCTCAGCTGAGTGACTCAGGCTGGGGCAGTACTGAAGCCAAGCCCTCTCCTCCCTGTCCCCAACTCCCCAAGGTGGAACAAACTTGGCTCACAGCTATCTGTGGTCATGTACAAATCTGATTTCTTTTACTGTAACCATCTGGGACTTTTGAAGCTGGTGAAAGAGCATCCATAGCTATCAGAAATCATTAGAGTCACAGGTACCAGTCTGATCTTGTGAATAGGAGCATTGATTTTCTGCTTGGAACAGTTTGGACCTTCATCTTTAGGTCCCTATGTAGTACCGGTAATAATGTGAAAATGGAGAAATTCAGTCACAATAAATGATGACAAAAGTCCAGGAAGAATCTTAATTATATCAGGTATTTCTAAATTGCCCAAAGAAGACTACAACAACAATCCTCACAAAGTTAAATTATCTGAAACTAAATCATTTGAACGGAGAATCAATAGTTTGAAGAGTCTGATAGAAAAAAGAAAAATCTGAAAGAACATATTTAAACAGTAATAAAGGAGCTAAAGAATATAGTAGTAAGTCTCAACAGCAGAATACAAAAGCTGAAAAATCAATGATGACAGGTCACACACCATTTATGAAGAAAAGGTAGCAGAAAAGAGAGTAAGATTGAATGAAGAGGATTGAAGATATATATTTGATATTATCAGGGAAATCCAAAGAGTGCCAATCAAAACAAATCCAACGGAGGTCAGAGATGCAGGAGTCCCTGGCTCCAACTTTGGAACCACATGATTCCCCAAGCGCTTGGGGAACCCCAGAAGTGATTCATTAGAAAACAAAACAATATAAAGTCAAAGGGAACATGAAGACATCATAATAAAAATAGCAAGACACAAAGACAGAGATTTTTTAAAGCAGCAAGTACAAAGCAAGGACTCATATATAAGGAAGCAACATAAAACTCACATCAAATTTTTCAAATAAAATTTACAAGCTAGGGGGCAACAAAGCTGAACGGCTCCAATTCCAACAGGTACAGCCCGCCCCCAAGGGCCTGGGTCCCTCTCTGGGCACGCGCAGCTAGAAACAGCCCCTAGACAGCCGGTTTTCAACCCCTGATCTGCGTGGGACGGGCACAGAGGCCCAGCTCTGGGCAACAAAGCTGAACGGCTCCAATTCCAAACAGGAGACGTTCCCAACTCCTCGCCCAGTGCCAGGGACTCTTTCCGGAGCCACGGCCGCTGACGCGGCCGCGAAATATTTTCCCACTATATATGCCATAGGAACCATAAGCTAACTTCTTAGATGGAAACTTCTCTATTTTAGCTCAGCCACTAGAAACACAGTAGCCAATAACTCAGAAGCCTATCTTAACTCACACTGCATATCAAGCAGAATAGTAACAGTGAACGTGAAGGACTAAACCACACCTCTCACAATGGTAAAGCAACGCAAAAGCCCACCAAACTTTCATATTGAAGAGTCTAGCCCAGATGACACCAACAGTACTGTAGTGTTAGACAACCTCTCTGACAAGGAATTCAGAAGGGAGCTACTTGGGATGCTTAGGGAATTAAAAGAAACAATGGAAAGCAATGCCAATAGAAGACAAGAGGATCTGAAGGCAGAAATGAGGAAAATGCAATCAGAAATGTCAGACCTGAAAAATCTCGTAGGCGAATTGAAAAGCTCAGTGGAAGGCCTCAGCAGCAGAGTAAGAGCGGCTGAGAACAGAATCAGTGAGCTCGAAGATGAAGTTCAGAGACTCTCCAGAAAAGAGCAGAAAATGGAAAAGAGACTCACAATTCGGGAACAGATGGCAAGAGAAGATCGTGATGAAGCCAAGAGGGGTAACATAAGAATTATTGGAGTCCCAGAGGGACAGGAAGAAAACCTCGATGAAGAAGAAACTGTCAAAGAAATCATTGCTACAACATTTCCAGAGCTGAAGAAAACTTGTGACCACATTCAGGAGGCCCGAAGGGTACCAGCTAGAAGAAATCCGAATAAAAATACCCCAAGACACATCCTGATCAAAATGACCAAAACCTTAGACAGAGACAAAATTCTGAAAGCAGCAAGATCGAAGAAAGAAATCTCTTACAAAGGAGCATCCTTAAAATTCACAGCTGATTTTTCTGATGAAACCCTCATGGCCCGAAAACAGTGGTGGGACATAGTAAAAAAACTCAATGAAATAAATGCCTCCCCAAAAATACTTTTCCCAGCAAGACTCTCATTCATAATAGAAGGAACAACACACAGTTTCACAGACAAACAACAGCTCAGGAACTTCATAGACTCAAAACCATGGTTACAAGAACAACTAAATGGGCTACTTTAAGGCAAGAAAGGGCCCTCAAATACACCAAATTTTAACAGAACAATGGGACAAAATCCCATAACAATAATCTCTCTCAATGTCAATGGGCTAAACGCACCAATTAAAAGACATAGAGTGGCAGGATGGATTAGAAAATTGAACCCAACATTCTGCTGCCTGCAAGAAACGCATCTCAATAGTCAAAGCAAACACAGACTCAGAGTCAAAGGCTGGAAAACAATCCTACAGGCAAACAGCTCCCATAAAAAAGCGGGGGTAGCCATCCTTATATCAGACCACATCGATTTCAGAGTGAGGAAGGTCATAAGAGACAGTGAAGGCCATTTCTTATTGATCAAAGGATCTGTACAACAGGAAGAACTTACAATAATAAATGTATATGCACCTAATGAGAGACCAGCAAAGTACTTAAAACAACTACTCATAGATTTGGAAAAAGACATCAATAGCAACACAATACTAGTGGGAGACTTCAACACTGCTTTGTCACCTCTTGATAGATCAACCAGACTCAAGCTTAGCAAGGACATACTTCATTTGAGGGAAACAATGGAAGAAAGGGACTTAGTAGATATATACAGGACACTTCATCCACAAAAAGCTGAATACACATTCTTCTCAAGCGTACATGGAACATTCTCCAAGATAGACCACATGCTGAGCCACAAAACATGCCTCCATAAAATTAAGAAGGTAGAGATTGCATCAACAATCTTCTCAGACCATAATGCGCTGAAATTAGAAGTAAATCACACACAAAAACAGAAAACTAAATCAAACACCTGGAAATTAAACAGTGCACTATTGAACAACGAGTGGATTAGACAGGAAATCAAAGAGGAAATCAAAAGATTCCTAGAAACGAATGAAAATGAGAACACGAGTTACCAAAACTTATGGGACACAGCAAAGGCTGTGTTAAGA